ATGGGATACTAGGGGTAGAAACTGGCATCAACTAATGGAGGGCAAAAATAACCCAACAACATCATAATGACATGGATCAAGGTTCACACATAAACAATATTAACCCTTAGAGGGCAAAATGGGCTAATGCTCCAAATAAAGAGACACAGACTGGGCAAAATCGGATTAAAGCAGTCAAAACCCATCAGGTTTTGCTGTATTTCAGGAGACCCATCTCACGGTGACAGGAGACACACTTAGGCTCAAAAATAAGGGATGGAGGTAAGCATCTATCAAGAAAATGGAAAACAAAAAAAAGGTAGGGGTTGCAATTCCTCAGTCTCTATGAAAACAGGACTTTAAACAACAAAGATTCAAAAGAAAAAAAAAAAAAGAGTGTGCATGGTGTCAATATAAGGGAAGTGATGCATCTAAAGTAAAGTCCCAAAGGTGCCTCAGGTGGAAGCTGCCTCCCTTTGCCAGAGGCTCAAGATGGAAAAATCATTAGTCACTGAGACTATAGCTCGAGGAGGTCATCCAGTTTGTGGAATCCCAAAAGTATTATTACTTTCCTATGGATAGCTCTTCCTGATCAGAATTCCCTTTGGTACTTATGGAATGGAAAGTACAAGCATATTCACATCAATTTCTACTATATATTTAAATATAGAAGCAACAAAAGCAGTACATTGAATTGTTCCAACGGACCCTACCAACTGTAAACTTACATCAGTGTCTCTTACCCCACTGTAAACTTTGCCCAGTCAGATAAGTTGAACCTGGGCTTCCTTCCCAACTCAAGACCAGGTAGAATAATGACATGGACACCTGCATCCAAGAGGGTCATACAAGTTCAAATCTCTCTCCCTGAAGTTCTCTAGCATACTTAGCTAGGTGAATATGTCCTTTGATCCCTCTTAAGGATGGGGAGACGTCAGTCTCACCCCTATTCATCTTTCTGCATAAAGAAGCTACAGAGGAGGCGGGAGGGGGCAAGAAGTGAGGTAAGGGCTTTATGAAAAGATGCAAAGGGAAAAAGTGGGGTAGCCCAGCTCATAGTTCATGACTCAACAGAATGAACTTCTAATGTTTTCATTCTGACTAAAATTCTGTATCAGTTGGCAAGATTCTTATGGCTAGCAGCATCAATTTCAGTATTAGAGACCCCTGGATATAACAACCACAGCTACACCGCATTCTCGCTGGGGGTGCAAGGGTTATGCCCTTTGCCCAACTCAAGCCTGACACAACTTTTTTAAGGAATTCACCTAAATCTGGAGCATCTGCAAGCACCACTACCAAAATAACACTCTCTTAAATTCTTTTAAGTTTCAATATAAAAACTAGGGGAGTGTTCCAGGGCTGCAGGACTAACCATAGAATTTATCTAAGAAATTGGTTTAGTTTCTCATTCTTCAGTGGGTCACCTTCATCACCATCGTAAACCCAATTTGGATCAGTAAAACCTCAAGTACTTGTTAATCCCTCATCTATGACTTCCCACAGGAGTTTGTCTCCAAAAAAATCTCAAAGAAGCTCAAGAATCTCTTATAATAACCATGAATAATTTTTTAAAAAAAAAAAAGAAAGAAAAGTCAGAAGACTTTATTTTCATCTCTAAATGGGTCTAAGATTCGGATGACAGACTGCAGGAGGTACAAAGTCATATGAAGGCATTTTGGTTGCCATGCTTTTTAAACAAGCATTATATACCCTACCCCTCATCTCTTGAGTAAATCAAGCAAATGCCAGCCATTTGCCTGGTTTCTGTCCATGTGGTTTCAAATTTTCCTCCTTGACACTCAGTAGTAGTGTTTTTCTATAAATATGATCACATAAACGTAAGAACTCTCTGGTCTCCCCAGGGCAAATTTTAATAATACTTGTTACAGTGGGGTGGACTTGAGCCTGACCACCAGATTGACAAGATAGTCTTCCTGCCCGGAGGAGAGTTAGATACAACCAGGGCACCATTCAGACAGCTGCCTTTGAATTTACTTCTGAGTTCTCAGACTGCAACACCCTCCCAAATTCGTCCTAATTAATACCCATTAAAGTACAAGATTATTAATTGTCCTGTTGACCATATAGTTTGGTCAAATGTCTGCTATCAGCACATGGCATTGCCTTAAATCAACCATAAGGATCTCATTCTTCCTATTCCAGAAACTCATGTCTCTTTCAGCATCCCATGCTCATCATCAAAACTATCAAGGACTTAGAAGGGTCTGAAATTTTACCATATACAAAAGCTAACAGGAAAGGCAGCTATAGTTTCATGGAGACTGATGAGAAAGGTGAGACTTCTGCCTCACAGACAAAGTTCAGTATATTCCTCAAAGCTATTGCCGATATTGAAGTATCTAGAGTATGAGTGTTTGCGTCACATTCCTAAACCTCATCTTAAGGGTATCGTCAAGAAGGCACATGCTGTGAATTGCATTTTGCATTATAGGAGAGAAACTCCAAGCTTAGGAAACCCAGATCTTTTGCTTATGTATTTATTTATTTATTTATTTATTGAGACAGAGTCTCACTTCGTTGCCAGGCTGGAGTGTAGTGGCACAATCTCAGCTCACTGCAACCTCTACCTCCCAGGTTCAAGCGATTCTCCTGCCTCAGCCTCCCCCCACACCCCCACCCTAGCTGGGACTACAGGCGCCTGCCACCATGCCCAGCTAATTTTTTGTGTTTTTAGTAGAGATGGGTTTTCACTGTGTTAGCCAGGATGGTCTCAATCTCCTGACCTCAAGATCCACTGGCCTCCCCCTCTCAAGGAGCTAGGATTATAGGCATGAGTCACCGCGCCCACCCAGGAAATCTGATCTTTTAAAATGGACAATAAGCATGCCTGCCCCAAAAGGAGATATTATCTTTTTCATACCAGGCAGTAAATAAATCTGCCCTTTGTTTAAGAAGGAGATATTATCTCTATCTTCCAAGGCTTTTCACTATATAATCATCATTGATAAGATAGCCTGGAATAAAGGCAGTCAGGGCCTCTGCTCAGAAGACGTGCAGAAATGTGAAAGACCCATGAATTGTCTCTCAATTATGTAAACAATTAGTGATGTAGTATTAAAAGGTATATCTCTATATAAGCTTGTTATTGTTATGCTAATATTTTTATTTTTAACACATTTACTGAGGTATTTACTGTCATGCAAGAAACTGCACATATTTAGGGTAGAAATTTTGCTATGTGTGTGTCTGTGTGTGTGTGTGTGTGTGTGTGTGTGTGTGTGTGTGTGTATATATATATACACACAGGATATATATATATATATCCTGATGACCAGATTGACAAGATAGTCTTTCTGCTCAAAGAAGAGTTAAATAAAACCAGGGCACAAGGAGCATGATCAAGTTAATGCACATAGCCATCATCTTAAAAAGTTTCTTTATCTCATTTTTTAAAAAATTCTTTTTTTAAAACATCAGATGGATTTTATCCAAAGCAGATGAAATTAGTTGAATTGCCAATATCTCCTTTAAGGTAAAAATTATATTTCTACCAGACAAGGCATGATAAATGATTCCTGGTGGAGGTAAGGATATGTTTTAGGGCATAGTTTGAGTTAAATCATTGCACTAAAAGAAATTACGAAAGTTTTCTATCATTAACTCTCAATGTCATGCAGATAAGACATTTAAAATTGCCATTGAGTTTCACTTTAGTCAATGGAGATTTTCATTCTGAAAACTTACCCATCAAACATGATCTTCTTGCAGGATTTAAGTAATTGCTGAAATACATTGCTTTCATTTTCTTTCAACAGGTTTCCTGACTACTTCTTTCCTTAGAGTTGATTTCTGAAAAAGATAAGTGGTTCCATTATATTATTCTGGAGGTAAAAGAGGAAAACTTAAATGTTCTTCTCATCTTTTAAAGAAAGATGCCCTTTTTATGTTTTTGGGTTTTCCAAAGTACAGATTTTATTTTCATAGTCTTTGGAATATGGAAATAAATTATATGGAACATTATTACAGTTACATGTTACATTAAGATTATATGAAACCATAGCTAAACAAAATAAAATTCTTATATCCATGTTTCATCATATTATAAATCAAGTTTTACTTTACTTAAATAGTAAAGAACTAATAGGCTATACCTTGCATCATTCACCATGAAGTAAAGCAGATCTTACCAAAAACTCGATGCCTAAAAATATTTAAACTGGAATTTTATTTGCAATGGTCCTTGAAAGAAATTTCTACACAGGAGAAAAACTTTAGTAGCAATATGTAAACATCTTCAGCTTGGTGCCCCAATGGGAATCAATAGGATCATAATTAAAGAATAATAAAGAGCACACAAGTTATATATTGTAACATCTCGTGTCTGTTTTTAACATGCAAACCACACAGCAAATAAAATCTATTTTTACATTCATACTTATCACAGAGTTAATATTTTTGTTGGTATTTTGGGGGACTCATAAAACAAAGTAATTTTTAAACATTAAATCTTTTTTAAGTATGCCTTAAAAGTTAGAGATATATTCCAGGAACTTGGCCCTAACTGCCTTTGAAATATACCACAAAGATGCATTATGAAAGAAATACTAATACATTTTTACACAATGCCCTGAAAAATGGTTAGAAATGCAGGAAATAAATGATAAATATTCATTATTTTACTATCTTAAGCAATGACAGTTTGACAAGAAAAACTGAAAGATTTTCTGAAATTAGAATAATATTTCAATATGTTAGATAAATATCACTATCAAGAATGTGTTTGAGCAGGCATAAAAATATGTTGTTGGCCACAGAAAATTTAATGAAATTCCCATGCTTGAAAACTAGCAATTTGTAAGCAGGTCATCATGGAAGACGATACTGGGGGATGACCAAAGTCTTCCGATAATACTCTGGCATTCTGAGTCCCTTTTAAGTCACATTCTTTTTCCTCTCCATCCATTCTTTGCTATCTTTATTAGTCCATTTTCACACTGCTATAAAGAACTACCTGAGACTGGGTGATTTACAAATAAAAGAGGCTTAATTGACTCACAGTTCCACATGGCCAGGAAGGCCTCAGGAAACTTAACAATCATGGTGGAAGGCGAAGGGAAACAAGGCACCTCTTACCCGGCGGCAAGAGAGAGAGAATGAGGAAGGAATTGCCAGTCACTTTTAAACCATCAGATCTCCTGAGAACTCACTATCATGAGACCAGAATGGGGGAAACCACCCCCATGATTCAATCACCTCCAACCAGGTTCCTCCCTCAACACCTGGGGATTACAATTCAAGATGTGATTTGGGTGGGGACATAGAGCTAAACCATATCACTATCTTACTTCATTAAGAGCAGTACATGTTAATTAAACACGATGGGGAATTTTTAAACTTCTTGGTGAAATTCGTGCCATTATTCACTCTATGCCTATGTATTTTGTGGGTCTGCCCACATATTACACTCTTCTGATATCTCTATTACCATTACTGTTCTACTTACAAATTCTCAACAGACACTATTATAACCATGAGAGTTGGGTTTACTCCCCCAACCAGTCCTTTTCCATCCTCTTAAATTATTTATCCCACCCAATTTAAGTCCCACAGTCCGATCTTTAAACTAGGACTCAGCACAGAACATTGTACCAGCAAAATCCTTCTTTAAGGAAATATGCCTGGAGATACATTTTCCTACCTGTATCCTAACTATGAATTTGGAAATCAGAGAGATAAAAAGGGAATGCAAGAGGAGACAGACAGTGGTGATGGTTACACAACATTATGAATATATTCAATACCTATGAACTATACACTTAAAATAATTAATATAGTAAATTTTATGTTATGTATATTTCACAACAAAAAATTGAAAATATTGTGGCAGGGACATTGGATTTGTAGTCGATCAAAATTTAATTCAAATACTTGGCTCTATCCATTTCTGATTTATATAGCAAATTACTTAAGTTCACCGGGCATAATATTTCTCAACTATAAAATAGAGATAATAATTTTATCTACCCCACATGGTTCTTGTGAGAATTAAATTATAAAATGCAAGTTATGACATTTCTTCATAGTAAATATCAAATAAATGTTAGCTATTAATCCAAACTTAAATCCATTTTATTGATCATTAATTATTGCCTATAGTTGGTGTGTTTTAGGATTTTGTAAGGTTTTTTTTTTCTTAATCTGAAGTCAAGTTTTCTCTAGCATGCAAATGTTATACAGTTGCAAAGGTGGTCTTTCTAAACCAGAATCATTACCACATTCAATTCTTTAGTTGTTTTCTGTTTCCATCCTTTCTAACCTCATTTCCCAGCTCACAATCTTACATATATATTAGGCTCCAATCAAGCCAGATTGGGACTGAGACCAACAAGCAATTCCCTGAAAAAGCCTCATCTTTCTCTCCTCCCCAGTCTGACAGTGTCACCCCTGATGAGACTGCCTGCTTGGCCCTCTTTCTTTTCTACTTGAACAAGTCTTATTCATCCCTCAAGCTTCAGTTCAATGACCCTACCTTAGAAAGCCTTCCAGGACTTCTGCAAATATCAGTGTTCCCATATCATTGAATTCATATGGCTATTACAGGATCTGTCTAGTTGCTATATTTCTTCAAGTGTCTGCTCACACACTTGACTGTGGTTCACTGGTAGGCAAAAGGTTATTGATTTCTTTGTTTCCCTCCTACCTGACACATATTTGGCATTCAACAAATGAAAAATGAATGAGTGAAAGGATAGGATTCTATTGGGAACATGAACAAATAAATCTGTGATGACCACAACCACACACAGAAGATATTGCCCAACAAATTTTCCACTTTCGAGCTGACACAGATTAAGACACATTCTCCAGAAAACCTCCATTCAAAGGTAAACACATTGAATTGGAGGGAAAAGGTACTAAACTATTACTATATTTACATGAATTTGTTTAATCAACCAGCAAGTCTTAAAACAGGATTCTAAGGGTTTGAAACAAAACTTTTTATGGGGCATATGTTGCCACAGAAAAATCCAAAGCAGACACTGCTGCTTAGAGAGAGAAAGAAGAAACACAGGTGGACATTCATAGTGGGTGGCTCTAGATAGGTTATATCTGATTGGATGTAAAATCAGAAATGACAGAGGGGAAATCTGAGGAAAAACTGTTCAGTCAACAATTTGTCACAGACCAGACCTGCACCTACAACAACACGCAGCCTCCTCTGGGAAGACAAACTAATTTTAACTCTAGTAACATCAAATTTTGTTAAGAAGGTAAATGCACTAAAAATAAAAGTCATTTAGAAGATTAAATACAAATTATGCTCTGGATTTTCCATGCTGTTGCTTCTCATATGTAGCGTGAATAGCTCAGGGCTAGTACAGAACCTATCACACCAAATAAAAAGCTAAGAAACTCGCCAAGTCCTGAGAGAACCACAGCTAAGTAACGTTAGCACTCTTTCACTGCTCTTACCAAAAACGCATACAAAAAAAAGGTTACTCCCATTTATAAAAAGAAAATTCTTACAGAAAGAAAACTGCATGAAAAATATACTGTTTTTTATTAAAGCAGTGTTATTTATCTTCACTGCTCATAGTGAGGGCTAGGTTAGGACAAAGGAACTGAGACCAACAAGATCCAGTGGCCTCACAGGCAGAGATTTATTGGCACTGCTACCCCGCAGCGCTCAGGGAGGGAAGCTGAGAAGTTAACTCTTGACACCAGGGCAAAAAGGGGGTCACTGAGAGAAGCAGACCCAGACATGCAGCAAGGAATCACATTGCTCCCATAACCATACTTGAGGGAAATTGCTTTACAATAGAGTACAGAGATATTTCTCAGAGCATGAGTTTCTTTTCCATCTTCGTTTTGATGTAACTTTATGTGAGTAAAATGCCTGACTCTCAGCTTTAAAATATTCCTCCCAAGAATGCTTATGAAAAATGTAACAGTTTTGATGCTGTGGTAGATTGCGTAACTATTCACAAAAATGTACTGCCCTTCCTGTGGGGAATTAAACATTCTCACCCTGTTAAATGCACGGGCAGCATGTGACTTGCTTTGGGCAATCAAACGTGGGAAAGGTATTCAAGCTGAAGATTGAGCAACATGCTTTGTCATTCTGTCTCTTCTGCTTCCATAACAATTGCCAATTTTCAAGCGAAAAGTTTCTCCATTAGTCTAGATCCTGGGGTGAAGGTGACATGGAACAGAGCTGTGGCCAACGAATGATTGACACGCAACATGAATAAAAGATAAGTTTTTTGTTTTTCTTTAAGATGCTGAGAGTTGGAGGATTGTTTGAGATTACTGCATAACCCAGCTCATCCTGACTAGTAGAGCCATTTCTCAGACTGCAGTGTGGCAGGCCAAAGGGAAGACTGCTTGGTTTATAGGTTTGTAATACTCTACTGCCATATGGGTGACAGCACCATCAGGGAATGGAGTCATTAAGAATGGAGGGATATGCACTTTGTTTTTAAATAGCTAGGATTCCTAAAACTAAAGCTGCTATCCATTTAAATTAAAGTTAATTCTCAACATAAAAACGAGTTGTGTCCCAAAAGATAATTTTAGGTCAGAATGCCTCTCACAAAGGAACCTGTTATAAATGGAAATTAAAATCCTATGCTAGTCCTTTATTACTTAGTTTCTAAAAGTAGTATTATTTTAGTTGCTTTAAGATTAAAAAGATATGCCGGGCGCGGTGGCTCAAGCCTGTAATCCCAGCACTTTGGGAGGCCAAGACGGGCAGATCACGAGGTCAGGAGATCGAGACCATCCTGGCGAACACGGTGAAACCCCGTCTCTACTAAAAAATACAAAAAAACTAGCCGGGCGAGGTGGCGGGCGCCTGTAGTCCCAGCTACTTGGGAGGCTGAGGCAGGAGAATGGCGTGAACCCGGGAGGTGGAGCTTGCAGTGAGCCGAGATGGTGCCACTGCACTCTAGCCTGGGCAACAGAGCGAGACTCTGTCTCAAAAAAAAAAAAAAAAAAAAAGATTAAAAAGATAAGTCTAAGTCTTAGACTCAGCCTCCATAATCATGTGAGCCAATTCCTTACATCTCATTATATAGATTATTATATAATAAAAATTATTTATAATAAATAAGTAATAATTTCTTTATAATAGATTATTATATAATATATTATATAAGAAAGAAATTATTATTATATAGTAATTGGACAGGGTTTATATCATGTGTAACCAAATTATGACATAATAATATTATTATTAAATAATAATCTCTTTTTTTATATAATAAAGAGATGAAGGAATTGGCTCACATGATTATGGAGGTTAAGTCTAAGGCCCACAGTCAGCAAGCTAGGAACCTAGGAATGCTGATGGTATAAGTTCCAGTCTAAGTCTGAGTTCAAGTCTGAACACAAGAGATCTATGTTCCAGCTCAAATACAGTCAGGCAGAGAGAAAGAATTCTTTCTTACTCAGCCTTGTTTTCCAGTCAGGCCCTCAATAGATTGTTTCAGCCCACTCACGTTGGAGAGGGCTATCTGCTTTACTCAGCCTACCAATTCGAATGTTAATCTCATTCAGAAATATGCTCACAAACAACCCAGAAATAATGTTTAACCAAATGTCTGGGCACTCCATGGCTCTGTCAACTCAACATATAAAATTAACCTTCACATCTTGTAACATTGTTCCTTGAGATCAACTAGAAATTACAGCTTAAAAGCCAGAACACCAACACATACCTCCCAAATATCATCAGGTCAGTAACAGGAAACCTGTTTTTATTTGATGTTTGTTTATATGTTTTATTTTATATTTTATAGGTATTTATTTTGTTTATAGATTTCATTTCATTTTTTTTTCTGTCTGTGTTTTGGCCCTGGAACAAGAGCAGAGACTCCCTGTCTACAAATCCTCACCTTCTCATGGGAGTATCAACTTTTTTTGGTTTCACACATTCTAATAGTGTCAGCAAGCAGTGACAATTTAATTGGAAAAGTAAAGAGGAATAGAAAGTTTCCCTGATAACATTGCATTAGTTATCTATTTCTATATAACAAATTACCCCAAAACTTAACAGCATACAATGATAAACACATATTATCTCACGCAGTTTCTCTGGGTCAAGAATCCATTTCAGCTAAGTGGTTTTGGCTCAGAATCTTTCACGAAGTTGCAGTCAACTTGTCAGCCCAGGTTACCATCATGTGAAGGATTGAGTGGGCTGGAGGATCTACTTTCAAGGTGGCTCACTCACATGCCTGAAAAATTAGTGCTAGTTGTTCAACCCTTGGTTTTTTGGCACATGGTTCTCTTCACAGGGACACTTGAGTGTTCTTACTCAAGCTGGCTTGAGTAGCTGGCTCTACTCACAAGTAATACAAGAAATATCAATCCATCATTTTTATGATCTTGCCTCAAAACTCACATACTGTCATTTCCATATTGTCTTATTGTGTTCATTACACAGTTAACACACTGTGTTAATTACACAGATCAGCCCCATTCAATATGGAATAGGTGACACCACCTGTGAATATCAGGATGCAGGGATCCTTAGAAGTCATCTTGGAGGGTAGCTACCATATTTATATTTTCCCCACAACTTATAGACTATCCTGGTCACTGGCTTGTATCATTTATTGAGTTCAAGTCTATAACTTTAGCTCATATAAAATTCTGACCAACATAATTCCAGATTTTACAAATATCAAGATATCTCTCAAGACATCTGTAAAATCAAATAGAGAGATCATATTTTAAAATTCAGTCACATTTAAATGACAGGTAATATAATAATTATTATTATTTATTTAATATATTCAGCTTTGTCATTTTCCCTGTGGTATGATTCACTTAGTACCAAAAGTAAATATCCAAAAGGTATTACCATCATGTAAATCTTCTTTTCTCAATTTCAATATGTTCTTTCTCATTCATATCCAGTAGGGTCATACAGGTAAGGCCTAAGCGTAATAAAAGGGCAGTGTAAGAAAAATTCTATTATTTTAATGCTAACAAAACAGACATTATTACATTGAAAATGTGATCCTAGAAACATTTTAAGAATAAGCTTTTGTTCAAAAGTCTAAACAAAGCTTTCAAAGACTTAATTCCAAGTGCTAAGGTTTATTTGCAGATTTTCACATTGTCTTTTATATTAATTGTTTCAAGGCTTGACAAACCTAATGAGAAGTATTTGCTAACATCCTTCACACCAGTCTTTCAGTCAACAAGTATTACCAACCACGTCAAGTAAGATATAGTCTCTGCATTCAGGACCATACAGCCTAATAGAGGGAGACAGGTATATAAGTAAACATATTTCAAATGCACCCCAAGCATGATTAAAAGCTTGAATGTCACACTAGCATCAATATACAAATCTTGCTAGTTCCAAGTCCTACTTGTTCACAAAGAAAATCTAGTCCCTTAAGAACCCCTTCCTCCATCCTCACCAGCAACAAAACTTGTCTTTGAAACCCGGGAGTTTGCTTCATGTACTCAAGAATATATGGAGGTTCTTCCTGCCACAGGCCTCTGCTGCCCTTAGCTATTCCATCTGGGTTGGCCTTAAGTGCTACAAGTTCTGATCTTTCAGTTCCTCTTCTTCTGGTTTTCACCCACCACCCCATGTTCACTCAGAGCTCTCATTCCTCACAGATCTCTGTGCCTAAATCTCAATTTACCCCAGTCTCCATGGTATCCAACATTTTGGCAATTTCCTGTAAAGGGGGAGGGTGGTTTGCAACCTGTGTTACTCTGTATTATTCTTAATAAAAGACTCCATTTCCAAGTTCCTTTAGTCCAAAGCACCACAGGCCTCTTCTCAGGACCTTGCTATGTCACACCTCACTCTATGCCACTTCAGCCCACCTTCTGAACCTTTCCACCACTCCCTCTATACTGGACCCTTCCATTTGTATATAGGCATGCCAAAGCGTCTTCAGTCTTCCCTGTAGCTGACTCTCTGTAGAAGCATAGTCTCTATTTCTTGAGAAAGATATCTACACTCAGTGTGCCTAACTCCTCCTTTTACCCTCAACTACCCTTTCATTCTATTCTGGTATTTGCACCTGCAATTCCATGAAACTATTAAGGTTAAGGTCATCGGTAGCCCCCTTGTTGTTAAATCCAATGGAAACATATTTCTTATTGTCCAGTGGTTCTGCATCCAGTGCTTCCTCACCCACTCTGCCCACTAGGCCTCCGTTCCAAACCAGGTCTTCTAATGACCTATTGTGATATGGAGATATTTCCATACAGTCAGGAAAGCTGTATGGGACTTGGTTTAGTTCCTGGCTGCAAAGCAGTAACTTTGATCGTTTTCTCATGAGGCACCCTGCTTGTTATGAGCCATAACGTCAAGCAGCAATTGTAGCCATTTGGATATTTTGGCCATTTGGGTTTTTTAGCTTCTATGAGCAGAGTGCTGTACTCCAGTCCCTAGTTTTATGCTGTGAGCCTGGTTTTAGTCCCCTGTCTCACATAAAAACATGTAAGACTATTCTCCACAGAGGCCAAGTTTCTGCTGCCACTTCCCTGCTACTGGGTCCATAGCTCAGCAGCCCTGTGGCATTTTCCCCATGTTGTATATGTACTCTGTCTCTGGACTATAAAAATATCCATCTCCTTTTTGACCTGGGCCTTGACTTTCTGGTATTGTCCTTTAATATATGATTAGCATTAGTGTATAATTTTATCAGAAAGGGTGTGGAAGCATGATATATTATGAAGACATCTCCCACCATTTCTTAACTTCGCAAGATTGTAGTGTGGATAAAACCCTACACAGAAGGAGAAATCTTTTGTGAGCAGTAAGGTCTCTACAAATGTTATTCAGTAGTAATAAGCACAGATATTCAAGGAAGCAGGAAGACAGTTTATTAGAACATACTGGTTTCTCCCCTTTCACACCGGATCTAAGACCCAGGGAGGAGATCCTAGAGGAAGGGGCCACAGGCACTGAGGGGCTGCTTAAGGGAAACCCTAATGGACAACCATCAGAGTTAACCTAGTGTCAGATATTTTTAAAGCTCTTTACAAATACTACCTGATTTAGTTCATTATCATTCTTCCCATTTTATAGATGCGCTACAGAATACTTAAGCTACTTGCTCAGGATGACCCAGCTAATAATAATTAGACTGCTGCAGTGCGAGCTCCTAGCTCATGCAAGAAGTTGTTTCTACAGCAAGAAGGGGTAGGTCTTAGGTAATCGTGAGTGGAATGAAACACTGTATTTTCTTTTCACAGAGCCCTTTCAATTAGCCCCTTCTCTTAAAATATCCCTGGGTGCTTGAGAAGCAAGTAGAATCTGTTTACTTGGCAAACTTTTGTATCAGCGAAGAAGATAGGTTGATGGTAACTCTATAGTAATGGGGATCTAAAGAGTTTTCTTTGTTTTTAATAATTGCTAATTTACTCTAGTACAGATAATTGAGTCAACCATTCTCATTTGCTTGAACTCCTTTAAAACATCTGAGGAGCTGTTTTCAAACAGAAAAGAGAATACTGACAAGTAAACCATTATCTTTCCTACTTAAAGAGCTGAAGCCTAGAGTATAGTCAGGGGGAAATGAAAAAACTCACACTACTGTTTGAACAGCCATTCCAATTAAAAAGCGCCCTGGGATGGGTGCGGATCTGGTCACCGTGCATGGCGGACATAAGAGCTCTGCTGGGAGTGCCTGTAGAGTCATTTTGGCAAGGCTGCCTCCCAGAGCCAACTGATCAATAGGCATCTCTCACCTTTCTCAAAGTACAGTGGGAACTGAAGACAGTGAAAAACAGTATCCTCCTCAACAAGACCACACTAACCCAAACCACAGCAGCACTGGTGCCAGCTCCAGGGAAGGCAGCCCTTCTGAGGGGACATCAGTGATGAGCAATGTGATGGAGAGGTTTGGAATTGCTTTAGCCACAATCTACAGGAGCACTTCAGAGTCCTGCCGGCCCAGTCATTGTCTCCATTTTTCAGGGAAGGGCTGCCTTCCCTAGAGCTGGCACCGGTGCTGCTGTGGTTTGGGTTAATATGGTCTTGTTGAGGAGGATACTGTTTTTCAGTGTCTTCAGCTCCCACTGTACTTTGAAAAAGGCGAGAGATGCCTATTGATCGGTTGGCTCTGGGAGGAGGCCTTGCCAAAATGACTCTATTTTTCAGAGATCCTTTATATGGCTCAGTGGGTCATCAGACACATCTCATGCCCAGGTATAAACAAAAGGCATGGAAGTATAAGGGAGGGAGAGACTTCACAAAGTGCCCAGCTTTACATCAAAGCTCAGTCCTCAGGTAGAGGGCTAAATCAAAGGCTTTCAAGGAAAGCTAATATGTGAAACCTTCATTTAACAGAAGTGCAAAATTGAACAGGAAAAAAAAAAAACTAGAAAAGAATCGAAAGTTAAACACAGAGAGTAGAGGGAGGAATAATGAGGGGCCATAAGCCACTCATAAGTAGTGATTGTCAATATAAGACACGACTCAGTAGCTCCCTCTTAAGAAGAGATTAAACTTTGCATCTTCTCAAAGCATGAAGAGAACGACATTCCCCTACCTCCATTTTCTCTCCTGTTCTTTTCTCTCCTCATTCTACACATTGTTTTTAAGCTACAAGTCCCCCATATTTCACCTGCAACTATGTTCTAGCACCACATTTTTTAAAGGGTAGTAACTTCTCCATTCACTTACTAAGTGCTTGAAGTATCCCAACACCACCCAACATAAAAAATATTAAAGCCATGTAATGTGTTGGTGGCAAGAGAAGGTAGTCTGTATTTACGATAGTTCCTAGACAAGTGGAGCTAAGCAAATATTTACCAAATTCACTTTAATTTGTTTACTCATCTCATACACATACCCCCACAATGCCCATTTGGCTGGGATAATGTTTTGAAATACTAATCTGCTATTACTTTTTCTCCCTGTACTTTTCTTTTTGTTCTCTCTTTAATTCAAGTAGGCAACTAAACTGTGCTCTTTACTCAAGATAAATATAGAACAAAGAGGACAGTAGCTTACAATTTTACTATTATCTTCCAAAGCCTGGATTTTTATAGAGGGGATTAAAAGTAGAGGATCCCCAAACATTGACAGTGTATTAGTCAGAAACAAGAAAAGAAAAAGATTTTCCACCGGGGAAAAAAATACAAGGGATTTCTTTTGGGTGGAGAAAAGAGAGAGAAAAAGACAGAGACAGAGAAAGAGAGACAAAGAGAGAAAGAGAATTCTATGGGTCTACAGAATATGGAAGAGCAAACCAGTAAAACCATCAGGGTAGGCAGCAAAGCCCCTGAAAGGTAAGAACTGTGTTCAGTAGAAAGGCAGACAGGAACACAGAGAGCCATGCTGAAGATTTTGGAGGCTCAATAAGCCTCTGGACTGACAAGCCCTATAAACAAGGATGATAAATATCTCATTGACAAGCAGTGTAAGAAAAGGCTGTGGATCCCGGAGGCTCACTCCTTTCTACCCTCTGTGATGTGGCTGGAACTATGGCAGACACTGGAGGACTCTCTCTGTCTCTCTAGTTTGGGGTGAACTCCTGCTCTCCTTCCTCTTGAATGAGACACTTTGTCTATATCTGCAAATCCTCTCTGCACTCTGGGGTTGAATCTTGAGGGAATGAGTGAAAGGAAAGGCTAGGTATGCAGCTTTCTGCTGGTTGTTCTGCTATATCCATCCCCTGAGACTACAAATACAAAAGAGCATATAATCCATTAGACACCTTGGAAAGAAAAATGGAAAATACAAGAAGAATAAAAGATAAATATCTCCATATGTTATCTCAGCCATATTCTTTCCTAAATAAACATCTTATGTCTTTCAAAATCAAATGTACTTTTCCTAAATGTTACTCCTGCCAGCTCCAGTACTCCCAGCCTCTGCTCCCTACATCCTTAGCATCTGGGGTAGGGGGATATCTGCTCCAGACTCCCTAAGGTCAGGTAGGTAAGCCTAATGTGGCACATTTCTCTCCTTTCCAGAATGTGTATGCATGTGTGCGTGTGTGTATGTGTGTGTGTGTGTGTGTTGGAGATAGAG